TAAATTGTTTTAATGGAAATCCTTTGAAGGATTATCTATTGATGGCCCACATAACTTGGCATGATGTCTTGTCTAAAAACACTCAGTAAGTGAGCAAATCGAAGAAAATCCTTCACCATTTTCTCTAGAAGAAAGCTTGAGGGAGAATGCTAAAGCTACTACTTGCTAGGTTTTTAAGTAGTCATTGAAATAATCTATTTCATTCCTGATTCCATGGGTAGAATCAAAGCTTACTGTCATGAGGAGCAAAAGACTATTCCTCTTCTTGGTACATAAGGTGCCCAAACAATCTCTTAGCATTTCCAAAAGGCCTGAGAAAACTTTCAGTGTCTTCAAGTTTCAAACCACAAAGAGAAATACAATCAAGAGTACTGACAACACAGAGCAATGGCTGCTTCTTGGGACCATGTAACCACTTAAGAGATGAGAAAAGTCAGATGGGGGCAGCCAGTGCTGTCAGGAAAGCTCAAAGAGCTCCATATGAAGCAATGCTTGGCTGTACAAAAATGTCAATTCTACTGAGTTCTTTCATCATATGTACTTCACATGTGTTTGCAACCAACTACTTGTGACCAATCAAAAACACTTGTTATCTAATTACATGGGACAAAAAAAAAAAACCAAAAAAAAACCCCAGATGCCTAGGCCTAATTCATTTGAGAATGAATACATGTCTAGAAAAAGGAAGAGGGACAAAGTATACACACATATGCCAGCCCACGAATACACATTTACAGCTGTTTCCAGCCTACTTCCTCAGCCTACTGCCAGTGGGGGTGGCTACAGTGACTTGGCAATGAAAATGTATGTTTCTCTCTTCCATTCACGGAAAAATTTGTCAAATAAGGGAACCATTTAAACTAGCGATGAGTCAAACAGCAGTCTTCATGTAAGAACAACTCAACCAGCCATTCACGGGGGCACCAAAGGACAACGTTTTTGTTCTCTAAGGAGTGTCAAAAAAGGGAAAAAGATTTCTTAATGAGGAATAGCAATCACTGAGTAGCTACTAAGTACTCTTATAGTAACCCTAAGAAGGTAGTAGTTATTTCTGTTGATGATGTTATTATCTTTATTTTACAGATGAAAAAGCAGAAGTTGGGCAAGATTAGGCAATTTTTTCAAAGTCCACAACTAGAAGACGAATGGATTAGGAACTGAAAATCAGGCCTACCAAATCTTATAATATTAGACTTCGTTCCATAAATAGTAAGATCTTAGAGTAGTGGCATATCTCAGGGAAAGTCACTCTATCTGTGAAAAACTTAAAATTCTTTCTAATAAGAATTAGGGAAAAGTAAAGGGAAATATAAATGTTTTCAAGAGACACCCACCTCCCCCACTCTGTCAACTCCATCATTTCTATACCTAAGTTACTAGGGAGAAAATGTTTTGGAAATCATGGAGATCCACCAATCTTACCATTCCTAGCAATAATATGTCTTACATTTGAGTGCATGTCGTTTTTAGAAAGTTTCCAAGACACATAATGTAAGCAAGTGTGGGGGCAATTTACAGAAGAAACTGAGACTCAAGACAACCTACCTATTTCAAAGGTACAAAGCATTCTGATGGTTTTTGTTTTTTGCCACAGCAAAAGTTCCATTCTATTCCTTCCTCTGATTTTCAAAAGGGCTTTCAGATATGAGTTATTATTTGATATCAACTGAAAAATGGGACCCAAGGTAGCAAGTTTTACAATGGGTATGGGTCTTATATCTAGAAATTATCTCTTTGGCCCTCTAGGGAGTCCCTGTATGAAATACTTAGCCAACTAAATCAGAACTGTTTATGTAATAAATAAATTCTATCTCTTTGGAGTCTGTGTAATATTGGGAGAAAAGAAAGAAAAAAGAAAGAAGAAATGATGGACAGTTTTTCTGAACAAGAGAGTAGAGAAGAAAAAGATGTCCTTGCCTTTGGCTCATATTCAGGACTTTCTAAGCATCTGGCCAACGCTGTGAAGCACACAGCAGGCATTCAATAAATGCTGACTGCTTGCCTTCTATATTCAAGTACTGATTATATTATTAAGGTATGTAACAACAAGCCAGATTCCCCTTACTGGCCCGCCTTAGTATCTTATATTCAATAAAGAGAGAGACAGCAAGCACATGTGAGCATACACAGACATGCTTATCCTCATCCATAATTGTTTAAGTCACAGAGGGAGCAGCTTGAATTAAGAGCTTCCTGAAAGATCATCTTCCTCAAAGCATTCAAAACTAGAACTCAAGAGCTACATATAGCTCTCTGTTGTTTTGGTTGGCTTGCCGAACCTTGCTGAATATTTTTGTAAACTATAAAATGATTGCTAACACTTGAAAATAGAAATACCAACATAAAGAAAATGAAAGGTACCAAGTATCCCTGAAGATAGGATGAAGGGGGGGGGCAGCTGAAAACAGGATAAGTTGAAACATGTACAAAAAACAGTTCCGCTATAATGTTCTTCCTTGGAGCCCACCTGGTCAGGAAATTATGCTTACCCTACACAAGCAGAGGCCCGGGGGGGTTACTAACTGACATTGATCTAAAAAGGTTTTAAAATTGGGACATGAGCCAGGCATGATGGTGCATGCCTAAAATCCCAGTGACTCAGTAGACTGAGACAGGAGGACCACAAGTTCGAGACCAGCCTTAGCAACTTAGGAAGACTAAACAATTTAGCAAGACCCTGTCTCAAAATCTTAAAAAAGGGCTGGGGATGTTGCTCAATGGTTAGCACCCTGGTTAAATCCCCAGTATCAAAAAAAAAAAAAAAAAAGTGGGGGGGGCAGGGAATACCCTTTAAATAGGAGAGATTGAAGATTCTTTTTTGGAAAACTGAATGATTTCAATAGTAGAAAACCAAGAAAACATCCAAAGTTAAAAATTCAAAAAAATTATGAGCATGTTATGTATAGAGAGAGATTGTTGTGGTGTTTTATTTTTTTAAAGCTTTATAGGCTGGGGATATAGCTCAGTTGGTAGAGTGCTTGCATTGCATGCATAAGGCCCTGGGTTTGATACCCAGCACCACAAAAAAAAAAAAAAAAAAAAAAAAACAACAACAAAAAAACCTCTTTATTATAATATTGATTTTAAAACTACATATCTATACTACTTGGAAAGAAGTACTTAATTACAATAATAGCAGAAGTGGAAGAAAAAAGAACAAGAAAGTGTATAGTGCATAGAAAGTGTAAAGATTTGTGAATAAGAAAAGAATGTGGGTGGTTTCTGTTAGAATAGTAGCAGGAAGGCTGAATCCCCATATGAGCTGAGGTTTGCTGAAAATAACTTAAAATGATGCTTCTGTTACATGCAGAGCAAGATGACGATAAAAGGAACAGACTTTCTGTGATTGATGATGTAATGTTGAAGAAAGACACAAGAGAAAACAAGCCTTTCAACTACCAGTTAGTGAATCCAACAAGAGGGATAATCATAAGGTTCTCTCCTTGTGTACAGAAAAACCCAAGCACCACGACCAGCCACAGCCTGTGTGGAAACAATGAGCTTCTAGCCAACTCTAAGTATAATTTAAGTAGATCCCAGCTTAAGTGATACTGGGTGTACTTTTTGAAATACCACGTAGCACACTTTAGAAGCAATGAACCAGAGATTTTTCTCTAGTCTAGTCAGATTATATCTACTGAATGTATTCAGTTAATCTTTAACTCAGGTAGGACAAATTCAGAGGAGAGAAATCAATACAGCAGAAGAATATAATTTCTTTGAGGAACTACCAAATAAACGTGAAGGTACTATCACTGAAAAATATCTAGAAGGGGACAAGATAGCTACCTTTTAAGAAAAGGAAGGGACACCAGGGATGCATGTGCCTATAGACAGATGAGGATACTGCAAGAAGGTGGCCATCTGCAAGTCAAGTAGAGGGGCCTCAGGAGAAATCAAACCCGTTGACTCCTTGATCATAAACTTGTAGCCCAAAATTGCAAGAAAATAAATTTCTTATTTCTGAAAATAAATACCTGTCTATGGTATTCTGTTATTATAGCTCTGGCTGACTAGGTGGCCCCCACCAAAGCAGTACAGAAATGACCAGGGAGTGGAAAAAAACCTATTGCTAATTCTTTTTCAGTCTTTCATTATACGAATGTGAAAAAATCTCCAGAGTGTGGTACCAAAGAAGAAGAGATTTGTCCAATTTCTATTTTAAAAGGCACACTGACTTAATTGAAAGCTTTTCAAGATCAGGTAAAAAATAAAATTAAGCCCAAAGATTACATTTGAGCTAATCAATTGAGGATTTATAAGGGTGGGAGACTTCATCCAGAATGATACTTAGTGCTACCCTTTGTTCAGGTAGATTGCTGCTGTCCCATCTGGGAAAATTCACTCGTGTTTTTCATATTCTAGAAGAAGAAAAGCTCTTCTGTAACTTGTTTAGTAGTTAGGACAGAGCAACTCAATAGTTGGCCAAAAGTGGGCCCCAACCAGTTTTGAAAGACAGAGGTTTGGTAACAATATGGTTAATTCAGCAACAGGCAGTCAAAAACTTCCCTTAACTCTGAGCACTAGACATATTTTGTGTCATGAAGTTGGCATAGTCCTCTTTTCTATTTCTAATGTTGCTTTTCAGTCTGATACCATGCATTGCCCAGAGTAGAGGGCTGTACTGAGACATCTCAGTGTGAAAAATAAGACATTTTCCTACCAGCAACACTCATTCAGCACATGAGGACACTATTACCAAAAATGAAGAAAGATGATCCATCCTATTTGAAAACTCAGATGGTTTAGATCCAAATTCTCAGAATATATTAGAATAAATGTAGAAGTATTTGTTTCATGTCTGGAGTTACCAAAACCCCAGGAAATACACCTGTCTGTCAACAAAGAAAGCCTCCCTTTAATTAACTTCAATAGGGAGGCCAAAAGAGGGAAAGAGCCTTAACAACTGTTGACATATGTATGTCCTCTCAGGGCACTGTAATGACAAAAGATCAACAGAACCAACCATAGCAGTGGGTTCATACCAGGAACATACTCACCTGCTTCTGGGTCTGCAGGAATTCTCCACATGTACAGGTTGAAGTCATCAGAGCCTGAAAGGATATACTGTTGGGACAAAAAATATATATTTTAATATATTATTTTATAATTGGATAGATAATATAAAATAATATACACATGTAGATTTATAATATGTAGCTATCTACATAGAAAGAAGCTTTTAAAAAATAAACAAGATAAGCTATCACATAGCAAACATCCTCATTAAAATACCTCAAATTCAAAGGCTTGTGGCTAAAACTTAGCAACAAAGAAACAACCCAATTCAAAAATGGGCAAAGGGCTTGAATAAGAAGTACAAGCTCAATAGTAAAAGCAAAGATTTTCAATACCACTAACAATCAAATCAAACCCAAAATGAAATACTACTGCATATGTATTAGGATGGCTATTTTGAAAAGAAATAGAAAGTACTGGCTAGGATATGGAGAAAAATGGAACCCATGTTACTAGTATTGATAGTAGTAATGTAAAAAAAAATTTTTTTAAATATTTATTTTTTTCGTTGTAGGTGGACACAATACCTTTATTTTGTTTTTATGTGGTGCTGAGGATTAAACCCAGTGCCTCATGCGTGCTAGGTACCTGAGCCACAATATTACTGAGCAACAACCCCAGTATGGGAATGTAAAATTTTGAGCCACTGAAGAAAAATGATATGGCAATTCCTCAAAAAGTTATATAGAGCTACAATTTCATTCAGCAATTTCAAAGATATACATTCAAGAATTGAAGCAAAGATTCTAACAAATATCTATACAAATATCTCCATATGTACAAGCTGAAGTCATCAGAACCTGTAAGGATATACTGTTGCATTCATAGAAGCATTATTTATAATAGCCAAAAGATGAAAGTAACCCAAATGTCCACTGATAATGAATAGAAAAACAAAATGTGATAACACTACATACAATGGGAGGAACTTCTGACATGCTACAATAGGATGAACCATGAGAACATTATAGTAAGTGAAATAAGAGACACGAAGAGATAAATATTAAGTGGTTCCATTTATATGAGGTACTGAGAGTAATAAAATTAATAAAAATGGTAAGTAAAATGGTGGTTGACAAGGGTTGGGGAGTTGGTGTTTAACAGGTATAGGATTTCAATTTGGGGTAATAAAAAATTCTGGAGATGGACAGTAGTAATGAGTACACAACAATGTAAATATATTTAGTGCCACTGAGTAAACATTTTCATTATTATTCAATTAATTACCTAGTTTTTGGTGTTAGGGTTTGAGTCCAAGGCCCCATGCATGCTAAGCACACTCTATCACTGAGCTACACCTCCAGCCCCTTTATTTATTTATTTATTTATTAGTTGTAGATGGAATCAACACCTTAGTTTATTTACCTATTTTAAAAATATTTTTTATTTATAGATGGATACAATCTCTTTACTTTGTTTTATTTATTTTTATGTGATGCTGAGGATGGAACCCAGTGCCTCACATATGCGAGGTAGGCATTCTGCCACTGAGCCATAACTCCAGACCCTGTTTATTTAGTTTTATGTGGTGCTAAGGATTGAACCCAGTGCATCACACATCCTAGGCAAGTGCTCTACCGCTGAGCCACAGCTCCAGTCCCTGACCTGCACTTTTTTTTTTGGCATCAGGGATTGAACTCAGGGGTACTTGACCACTGAGCTACAATCCCCAGCCCTATATTTTATTTTATTAGAGACAGGGTCTCACTGAGTTATGCTTATTTTACCACAATTTGTAAAAAAAATTTTTTAATTCAGAAAATAAAGAAGTAAGAGCTTCCCAGGGATCTTTCACATAAGGTCAAGCATTCTATACTTCCCTCTTGTCAGGGAATCTTTGAGAGGAAGTCATTGTCAACACAGCCACAAATTAGTGCCACGGGCATAAACAGTCTCCTTTTACATGTCAGCTTAAAATTGCTTATCTTAAAAATGACACTATTAACCAGGCACATGTCTGTAATCTCAGCAGCTTGGGAAACTGAGATAGGAGGATCTCAAGTTCAAAGCCAGCCTCAGCAATAGCGAAATAGCGAGGCATTAAACAACTAAGTGAGACTCTGTCTCTAAATAAAATATAAAACAAAATAGGGCTGAGAATATGGCTCAATGGTTGAGTGCCCCTGAGTTCAATCCCCAATACCAAAAAAAAAAAAAAAAAAAGACAATATAAGGCTAGGGTTGGGGTTGTGGCTCAGTGGTAGAGTCCTTGCCTAGCATGTGTAAGACACTGGGTTTAATTCTCAGCACCACATATAAATAAAGTAAAGATCCATCAACAATTAGTAAAAATTAATAAAAACACTATACCCAGGTTTATTATAATTTAGATTCATAAAAGTATTATCTTAACATTGTCTAATAGCAACAAGTGAACAACTCTGGGGAGCTCATTTATTTCCACGTATTAGCACATGTTTTACTTTAAGTCGAGGTCAGGATTACTTCCTCTCTTTTGGCCCCAGCTTGCTTACTTCACTAGAAAAAGAAAGGCCTACAATTTTCTAAAAAACAAATAAACAAACAAACAAAACACTTCTTACTCAATCAAGCTGTGCTTGATGGCACTAGCCTAAAATCTTAGCTATTCCGGAGCCTGAAGCAAAAGGATTGCAACTTTGAGGTCAGCCTCAGCAACTTCACAAGACCCTGTCTAAAAATAAAAAGGGGGCTGAAAATATAGTTCAGTGATAGAGTGCCACTAGGTTCAATCCTCAGCAATCCCCACTGTCAAAACAAAAAAAAAACAAAAACAAAAACAAAAAAATCTCTTACTCTGAAAAGGTTGTTGGAAACATATCCTCCAACAAATATAAATTTGAGATATATTTAAAACCTCGTGCCTAACATAAATACTTAATTAAGTAATTTGCAATCATTTAAAAATCAACTTATTAGCCTTCAAAACATTTGTAGGAAAATGAGAAAAGAGGCAAAGGCAGGTAGGTTTAAGATGGAGCAAACGCTATCCATCAGGGTTAGTGATTAGGCCAAGACACAGTGGGAAAAGCTCAGATTCCTTACCTGCAAAAGAGAGAACTGAGCTGGTTGTTCTAAGGCACTTACAAAAGCATGTAAGATAATACCCTAAGGAGCTTAAACAAAGTATAAAATATAAAACATGTTAGGTATTCAACATGTTGAAGTTGCAGAAGTTCAAGCTGAAGGAGAAGTTGCTACTTGCCATTATGAGTAATAATAGAGTCCTGGTGATCCTTAGAAGAGACAAGACAAGATGGATTTGAGAACTGAGTCAGCTTCAGATAAAGATATAGTTTAAAAGTAGAAGGGATAGAAGGAGAAAAGATAAAGCAATGGCTCTCATGAAGTCTACAGTTTTAATATAAACAGAAAACAAAGTGCAGCTCCCTCTTTGACACCCTCTCATATCCCTCAGGCCTTATTCTTTGTATACTTGCCTGAACTCTAACTGCCTGTATCTACATGTCTGCCTGAGGACATTCTCTACAGCCTGTGAGTCTGTTCTAGGGACTGAACACTCCTGAATACTCCTTTGGAGCAGGCTTCAACCAATGACTGACTGAGACAAGTTGATGTATCAACAGTCCACCTTTCCTGGCCCCAGAGAGAAAAACTCTGGTGTTTGTGTTCTATGCCCTCTCCTCCTCAGGGTCAAACTCTAATTGCACACAGTTGTAGCCACGAAATCTTCCTTCTTTTCCTTGTCTTACTTCTCTAGTTCTCTGCTCTAGGTTTACTGCACTAACAAATAAACCAGTTGCACCTGAAATTTGAACCCAAATAAAGACAAATGGGGTGGGGATTACAGAACACAAAAGAACTGTCCATTAATTATTTGTATATATGATATATAACTTATTTATGATTCAACATCTCATCATTTCATGCTCGGTTTAAGAGAAGCTACAAATTTTGTATAGAATTCCTGTTATTTTGCCTCCCTACTCAGACCTTCACAAAACAAATGAACAAAAAATAAATATTAAAAAAGAGCGATTCAAGTCTGGGCTTATGGTATGTTTTACTACTTTTTTGCAAAGGGTCAGAGCTTTCCTATTTGTTCAGCTATTCAGAAGGCAGAGCCCTGAAAAGGTAAAAGGGGGACTTCCAGAGAGAATGCTGACTCAGAAGATTGCCTTAGAAGGAAGAAAACTCTCCCACAGAGTTCAAGTCTGTTGGATTTAATATGACAGATCCTAAAATATGTAGAAAATGCATAGAATGTCCATGCTTCCTCTCAGGAATAAAGGCAACTCCTGATCTCTCTTCCTGTTAAAACTACTCTTCTACCTACCACAATGGAATGGCTTGGGATGATTTCCAAGGAGGGGGTCTTGACCCTCTGACATCTAGTCAGACAGTTTAAGTATTTACACACACAAGAATCACAAAATGCCCTGAGGAATTCATTTATGGCATTTGGTGGTTGTCTGCTGGACCCCTGCCAGCATAAAAGTTGGCTGCCTAGGATAATGCTGACTGTGAGAGACTGAAATAAAAGTGAGTTCATTCCTTTATTTACTGAGCAAATATTTATTGAATGTCTACTATGTATTATGTACTGTACCAGGGAAGGAAATATAGAATTGATCAAAAGAGACCCTGTCCCTGCCCTCATGAAGCTTACTTTCTATGAGTGGAAGATGAAAAAAATAGGTACACACATATAATATGGATAAAGGAAAAAAAGTTCAACAATTACAATAACATAGATAGATAGATAGATAGATAGACAGATAGATAGATAGATAGATAGATAGTGTATCTGGTGGTGGAAGTATTAAAGAGAAAAACTAAACAGCAGGTTAATGCATATTAAGAATTAGGTTCCATTTTATACAGGCTGGTCAGAGAAGACCTCTCTGATAAAATGGCATTTTTAGCAGAGTCCTGAGGGAAATGAGGGAGCAAATTATGTGCATATCTGGGGAACAAGTACTCCAGAACAGGCGGAGTTCTGGTTTATTTAAAAATAATATAAAGTAGCCATTAAGAGCTCTTTGATCTTGTGTGTGTGTGTTGTGTGTGTGTGTGTTGTGTGTGTGTGTGTGTGTGTGTGTGTGTGT